ATTATGCAGGAGGGGGGGGGGCACTCGTGATACGCCTATCGAGAAAAGAAAAACAACAAGACAAAAAACACAACTTGCCATGTCTTTATGAGTAGAAATAAAAAGGGTAGTTACAATGATAGTGAGAGAGAGAGAGAGAGAGAGAGAATGTGTGTGTGTGTGTGTGTGTGTGTGGGTGTTTGTGTGTGCGTAAGAGAGAGAGAGAGAGAGAGAGAGGGAGGGAGGGAGAGGGAGAGGGAGAGAGAGAGAGAGAGAGAGAGAGAGGGGGGGAGGGAGGAATTCGGTAGGGAGCGGAAAAGGGACAGAGGAAGCGAGGAGAAAGATAGAGAAAGAGGGAAAGAGAAAGAGAGAGAAAGAGAGAGGTATAGGACTGAAAGATAGAAATAAAGAGACTGAAATAGGGGAGGTAGATAGATATAAAGATTATGTAGATGAGAGAGAAAGAGAGAGAATAATTAGAAAAGCCTCGGAGGAATATAAAGGAAGCAGTAAATGTGGGGGAGATGCGTGAAAACAAAATAGGAGACATATTTCCACATTCCCTCCTTATAAACGGAAAGGCATTCAAAATGTCACTTATTGCTCGAGGGGCCATTCCAGCTCATCAGTTTTGATTTTCATAGACACACCCAGAACATGATTCTGATCATGATTCTGATCTGGCCATTTTTCCTAATCTTACAAACCTATCATAATAGTACATCATTCGAATAAGTTTGATGTTGGTCCAGGGTTATACTGTGCCCCCTTTTCCATAATACTGGTTCCGTCTACGTAATGTTAATAACAATGTCCTTATAAAAGAAATCTTCTGTAGCCGCTCCTCTGATAAATTTGTTGTTCTTAATTTTTTTTCTGAACAGATCGACATCATTCAGTAATGTCGATCTGTTCAGAATTTTTTTTTAAGAACAACAAATTTATCAGAGGAGCGGCTACAGAATATTTCTTTTATTGCTGGGAGTCCGAGGGAGCTTGGGGTTTTGGCATTCATTGTCTACATGTGCGACTCATTTATAACCACTATTTCTTCTTCTTTTTCTGCGGGGGGGGGGGGGGGGTGATTTATTTCCCAAGGTGCCCCCACCCTGTCGAACCGCTACTGTTACAAATACAATTCGTGTTTACTAGATGTCAGTATATTATGCTCAATTAACTGAGCATCTAAAAACATTTGCTTTTATTTCAAGGTGTATATTTTATATAGATTTTATGGTGAATAGGGTTCTTTCGTTCTTTATTGCTCTTTTACAATAGATTCTATATACCTTGCCCATCAAAAACGTGAAACGGAAGCTCAGGACCGTTTCAAGAAAGTTACTCCTGTGTCGGTTCCTTTAAAATCATGTAGACGATAGAATGCCATCACGAATGTGGAGGATTGTGAAAGAGAAAGAACCCCCTGCTTGGCTAGTCCCGTTTACCTGAGGTTCAAGTAAACGAGTCTCATGGCACAAACCCTTTGGCATGTTACATTCTTCATCTGTTACCATAAATGCCGTTATTTGCAGATGTACCGATTTGTATCCAAACCGTAAGGGTGGTTGCACACGAGGCGTCATTTGCTGACGGAGGTCTGCGTCAGTGACTAGCGTGGCCTTTGACGCTTCAAAGTGAGAGTGTTATCTTATGTATGCAACCATTAACAGTACAAGTATTAATGAACATTTATTGTTTACATGTTTGATTTGATTTGAATAAACCATTTATCTATCTATCTATCTACGTTAATAACTAGCGCATGCATCACTTACCTTCACAAGTTTGATTGGCGTATAATGACGCAATCTAAATGTGCAATTGCGTCGTAACTCTTATGATAAGATTCGTAATAACGTGCAGCTCACATTGACGTACATCTGAAAAAATGTTTATTGAAAGGGTCTGTATTTTCAGACTTGCAACATACATCTCACGGGAAACCATGGGAAGGTGGGAACATTCCGATCCCATAGGTGTGCAAATATTAGTTGTCATTACATTAAGAAATCATGGAAAATCTGAATCCACAACTCTTATAAACAAACCGTTTGGGTGGGGGACGGGGCGAGGACAGAGGTTCGTGTAACTATTCGAGAGGGGGGGGGGGGGGGGGGAGAGAGAAAAAAAAGATTGAGGGCGAGAGAGAGAGAGAGAGAGAGAGAGAAAGGGGTTATGTACATGTATATGACATATCCTTATTTTTAAACGACATAATTTCAGTACAACCGTCAGACTTTATAGGACCTACCGAAACAATTTTAATGCTCATACTTGACTATCATAAGTGTTAGTGGTAAACCTTATTTTCCCCTCGCTCTAGTCTTTTTGCCACTATGCCAAAGCATTTGATGCTATCGATCATACCGTTTTAGTAACTAAGATGATAAATATGGGTGTCAGTAAATCTATCATTTCCGTTGTGTGTGACTTCCTGAGTAACAGATCCCAAACTGTCCGCCTTGGTGGCATTACCTCTCAAGTTCAATCCATAACATGTGGTGTCCCACAGGGCACCAAGCTTGGCCCAATCCTTTTTCTGATCATGATCAATGATGCTGCAGATTTCACCCCAAATAGATGGAAATATGTTGACGACCTTACCCTAGCAGAATTCAGAAAACATACTCAGCAATCACAATTGCAAGATCAGGTCTCCCAGCTAACCCAATGGTCCAGCACAAATCACATGACGCCTAAACCGTCAAAATGTAAGATCCTATATGCTTCATGCGAAACCCTCCACCTTTCCCTGAAATCAAGATCGGCGATTCTGTTCTTCAGGAAGTCACACACCTGTCACTGTTAGGAGTTACTTTGCAATGTAATATGAAGTGGGATCAACAAATTGATCTCGTCGTTCAAAAAGCTTCGAGACGATTGTTTATGTTGTGTATCTTGAAGAAATACAACGCATCCTGTAGTGATCTAGTTACCATTTACGCATCCCATATCCGTCCCATTCTAGAGTATGCCTCACCTGTCTGGTCTTCTTCAATCACTTGTCAACAGTCTGAGAAAGTTGAGAGAGTTCAGAGACGTGTGACCAAGATCATTCTCGGTTTCACCCCTCTCACCTATGATGAAAGGCTAGAGAGTCTAAATCTGCCCTCCCTTCAAGCAAGAAGAATAGAGCTTGATGCTAAGTTTGCCCACTCGTTACTGACGTCCCGACACAGAGACTTACTTCCACCATCTAAAGATTCCTTGCCCAATTTTCGCCCCCTCCGTAATAATCATGGTTTGGTCATTCCTAGGTGCAGGACTAGCCGATATCAAAATTCTGCTGTTCCTTCTCTTGTTCGTGCAATTAATAAGCCTTGATTCTCTCTCTCTCTCTCTCTCTCTCTATCTCTATCTCTATCATCTCTCTCTCTCTCTCTCTCTCTCTCTATCTCTCTCTCCCTCTTGCCTTATTCCTCAGAATCTTTTAATTGACACATTCACAATTTGGTGTACGTTATATTTTAATAATGGCATTGTATAACTAATTTTTAAAGTCGATTCCAATTTATAATTTATATATTTCTGTGTGGTTATCTTATCAACTCAAACGTAATTATGTTAATTCAGGTTTTAAGGCTTTTATCGTTGCCTATCTTCAAAATATTTTCCCCCCTTTTTTCTTTGATTGTTTGGTTGCTCAACATTATTTTTGTCTGTTTATCTGCTACCATTACCATATATCAGTTTAGTAATTTGATGATCCTGACCCTCCTTTCTCTTAGTTTATTTTGGTATTGTATTGATGGAATTGAATTATTTTTGTCATCTTTATTTCGTATTGTACTTGTCATACCTTTCGTTTGGCTCACTATTGTATATTTACTTTATTTATAACCGTATTGTATAATTTGTAAACATGAACAGTTTTGGTCCTTGGACCTTTGAATCATGTATATTTATATGTCTTTTTAAACCGAAATAAATAAAATAAATAAATAAATAAATAAAAACTATTGTGATAAGCTGATAACAACCAATTCGTCAAAGCAAGCAACTGTTTGAATATGATTTATTGAAATAAATAGGCCTAGGAACCTTCGAACAAGATTATATACGAAAAGCGAATGATCCTGGAAAAAAAAAAGGAATTTCATACAGACAATCAAGATCACGGAGTACAAATGTCTTTTTAACTTGTGTAATTTCAAAGAAAATATATGCATTATCGACATAATTATCATACGTAAGTGAATTAAATTATATGAAGCATCTAGCTGTAACGTCAAATGCAATCAAGGGCGCATGCATGATCAGCGGCTAGTTACGCGGCACTGAGTGGCTTTGACACGCAAAAGGTACGCCCAAAGTATACGCATTGCTTAAAAAATGCTCATGAAGTCGAAATACAAAATTGTAAATATTTATTTAAACTTAGAAGAAGGAAAAAAAGAGCAAAATTACTGGCACGGAAGTTAAAATATACAAAAAATAACATATAAATACAAAATAAACATATCAAATACATATTACGATACTAATATATTTATAAGGAATAAAAGCGGTCTCAAAATCTACATTAAAACAAAAATAACATATAAATACAAAATAAACATATAAAATACATAATTACGATACAAACATATTTATAAGGAATAAAAGCGATCTAAAAAGAGCAATTATTTGGAATAGATTAAATGAAATATTTTAGAGATAAAACTGTGCTCACTAATACCGCCCCTGGAATGAATCCTGACTACAAAGGGCAGTTCAACAAAAATTTACTTCGAATACCCCGCTCGCGATATGCTTCATATCCGCTATCCCTGAATAGTGCCGCGGATCCGCGGATAACCGGCATCGGGCCGAGAAACGTTAGTCTTCTTCTGTAAATACTTCCCTTTAAATACCTTGAAAATAAACTGGTACAATAAAATTGTTATTTTATGTATTTTTAAAATTAATTTAAGGTATCGAAAATATATTTTTTTGTTTTAAATGTAAACATATTTTGTCTAATTGTCATAATTACAATCATTTAATTCTATGTAATGATCTTATTACTCGTAAAAATGGCAACGTTGTTTACCATTCTTGAGAAAAGAGCAGAACTAGCTTCGAAAACCAAGATGTAAATCGTCCAAACGAGCCTTTCACAAGTTCGTATACTAATTTCAGTCAAATGGTAAGTAAGATGAGAAGTTTTTAGATTCTTTTGTCCTGTCATTTTTTAAATCATTTGACTTTTTAGAATAGAAAAGACGACTTTTCTCGGCTTTTCGGAGCGGTAGTGTGAAGCCCGTTACCGTGGTTGACATGGTACCGCGACGCTACGGCTGAACTGTGCAGTGTTCTCTACGTCTACGGTGTTCTCTACGATCACGATGAGGTTTCCAACCTTTTCCCTACTTTCATGGGATTATTTTACACAGGTTTTTTTTTATAACTGTGATATTAATTTATTCTGTTAAATCGAGAGGGCCCAGTTTAGTAGGTAGACTTTCTATGTGATGTAGTTGGTGCATATGTGAAGTATGAATGAATTGAGTGTCTTTAGTTTACCTTTACCCGAGATTCTGGAAGAATGCTGTGATCTCAGCAGTCGGGCTTCCAGTTCAATTCCATTTTCTTCCTTCTCGTAGTTGGGTGTCTTCTTGGTAGGTTTGTCTGGCTCAGTTCTGCGTCGGGTATTCTACTCATATGGGGAGCAGAACCGCTTGTCCTTCCATACTCGATCCAGTCTGGCTTTAAAGGCATTCACCGTGGTAGCAGTGACTACCTCTTCAGGAAGTGTGTTCCAGTCATTGATGACACGTTGGCTGAATGCATCCTGCCTAATCTTCGTTGAGCATCTTTGTTTTACGATCTTTAGACTGTGGCCTCTTGTGTTGCTAGTCGAGTGTTCAAAGAAGGTATCAACTGGGATGCGATCAAGTCCTTGGATGATTTTGAAAACCTGAATCATGTCGCCTCGTCGTCTGCGATATTCGAGGGAGGGAAGGTTGAGCGCCCGAAGTCTCTCTATGTAAGGACGGTTGCGGATGTCATAAATCATTTTGGTAGCTCTCTTCTGCACCCTCTCTATGGTTTTGGAGTCTGTCTTGAAGCGAGGGTACCATATGGAATCTCCGTAATCTATGAGAGGTCTGACAAGGCCTTTGTACAGCTTTGGAATTGTGGACCTGTCTCTGCACTCAAAGCTGCGACGGATGCAGGAGAGTACTCCGTTGGCTTTCTTGACTGCATATGCCACATGGTTATGGAACTTTAGCTCGTCATCAATGAGGATGCCAAGATCTTTCTCCTCTGATGTAGCGGTGCGGTGACGGTGGTAAGAATGAGTGACTAATGCCTAATCAAATGCCATGGTTCGGCCTGCCTGTGCTGTGTGCCTGGGCCTAGGCTACCGCCGCTGCACTGCTGTGGCATGGCCTAAGGAATGTGCACTGTCATGTCTGGCACTGACTGTCTAACTCGAGTGCATAACAATTACAGACCTGACAGTAATTATGAAAATAAGGGCCGCTAGTTCAGCTCAGAATCATATCTAGACTTTGATCGTAACTCAGGCATGCCATGGTCATGGAGATAAAAAACATACCAACGATCGACTAAACCTTCATCAATTGTTCAAATAATGCCTGGTCCTGATTTCAAAGTTGTTATGTTTCCTACCCGTTTTGTGTCAATTTTTTTATTGTTTTTGGAGTATTTTCCTAAAAACAAAGACTTATAAAATACACTTTCTCTCAGCAAACTGCTACACAATACAATTGCATACAGTCAGGCGTGAGGCGTGACGTATGGGACCACAGCGTCCCGTACGTCACGCAGCACATTAATTACATTAAAAATTAATTAAAAAATTGGTCAGAACTAAAACTTTCCACAAATGAACTATCCCATAATAGCCACAGACTCATTCCAAAAGATAGCCATATAAATAATTTCATCTGTTGTTATTTCTTGTTTAAAGTCTTTAAATGTCCCGTACGTCACAATCCAAATAGCTTGGACTTGCCCTACATCACTTTGTAGTTGGATTACTGGTAGATGTCTACCTTTTTGTGAGCCTTCCCATTCCTCTTGCCAAATTTCTTTAAAGTACTGTAACATATTGCTTTTACACATGGGACTATCAAATTTATATTTTCTTTCAAAGAAGCTTTTTTTGGCATTGATGTCCACAACATCATTTATTATTATTATTATTATTTATTCGGCAAAGGAAAACATTACATATCAGTGTACACAATACAAAATAAGACATAATTATCAACCATTGGAACGCCAGGGACAGAAAAAGTTAACTAAATTACATAATCCTGCAGTGGGAAGGTATCCATTTAGAAAATACCTGGATATCTTGCGTTCTTAAAACCTGTATTTCATTTAGGATTTCTGGTGTGTGGTTTAAGATAATAAGCCAACAAAATTGAGGGGGCTGAGCCGGTGTTAATGTCCACTGGAGTAAAGTGTCAGAAGTTCAGAACCAAATAGAGTTTATACGGCACAGGTGTAAATTGATCTGGGGTGGCTACAGCCATCTTTTAAAAAATAATTTTTTGATGTATTATTATTTTGGTCCAGTTAGGCTTCAGACTAGACCACACTCTGTGAATAGTTGCTACCCCATAGATCTAGTGTTACATTCACATATACAGTATGTAGATATCAGTAATACAGTGTTCTAAAATGTGCTCACCCATAATGGGCTTTCATATATAATCTGCGAATGCATGGTACTGGATACTACATATAGTTCATAAATGTCATACATTAATGGATTTTCTTTTCACATTTATGTAGAGTTTCAGCTGCTACATGATTTGCCAAAGAGCATTGCAAGGATAGAATCACACCGTGTGTTAGACACAGAGACTGGATAAGCCATGTCACTGTTCAAGGCCAGAGATTGGTGGACAACAACTGTCGGTTCGGGGGAGGTCTTCGACCAGGGTAGCCTTGCTGTAGCAAAGATTGATGGAAATTCATCTACACATGGTAAGTCACTCACTCATTAATTAACATTTATTACATAATTCCATTTGAAGTATGATTCAAACTGATTCAATAATGATTAAAAAATGCAAATACATTATGCATACAAATGTGGAAATACATTAAAAGTTTACAAATGTAAGACAAAATTTTGAGACAAAAAAACAACAAAGTTAAGATATGATCGTAAACATCACTTGTTATTTTCTAGATAAAATCATTGTCGGAAGCTTCAATGGGGTCCTTCGAATCTACCAGCCGCAGCCGTCCAAGGGAGAGCATCTGAAAGCTGAAGATGTAGTACTTGAAGCACAGCTGCAACAACCTATCTTGCAGGTTGAAACTGGTCGCTTTGTTTCGTAAGTAATCTTAAAAAAATGAGGAAAAAATCTAGATCTACATAGAATATGATGTTAGACATGAATGGTTAGATTCTCTCATTTTACCAACATTTCTTTTACAGTATTTTAAGCATGAATTCAGTCAGAAGAACAATTTTTATCAGAAAAGAAAAACAATTAGTGAGTGTCAAGATTTGCAAACATTTCATACCGCAAAATGTTTGAATTTAAAGTTAGATTGAATCACGCATAGCATATTTGCAAAGTTGCAAAATATTTTCTTGACTATTCATGACAGTTTCTTGTGGTGATAGTTTCCGGTTTTGCATTATCCTACACTATCACATTTTTTATTGTATGATGTCAATGTTGTGCTAATGTTCTGCAATGGTTTCCAAGAGAATGAAATATAATGAAGATATTATGTTTCACATGAAAATTGCAATAAAAGCAAATCCGCTGCTCGAAAGCAAATGTTAACTTGCACAACACGCTAAATTATCTTTGCTGTTTTTACATGACTTTGTATCACTTCACAATGTGTTTAATTGTGTACTATTCAACAGTGTATCAGAAGCGTTGCATCTAGCTGTACTTCATCCCCGTAAACTGGCCATTTACTCTGTACAAGGTTAGTAGTAGAACATATTTCATATTATGATCACTTTTGAAGAATATATGATTTTAGAGAATGTTACACCAAGTGAGTTTGTAAATGCTAGTCAAGAAAAATTTGGAGAATTTTTTTTTGGAGAATTTATGAAGATTTTCTTGACATGATTTACCAGGTATATGTAATGAAGATACACTGCACAGATAATTTGTACAAAATGTCTGTCTCTTAGAAAAGTTGGGTTCTTTCAAATGAGCATGCCTGTCTTTAAAAAAAAATTGTTATAGAAGATGTAAGATAAGGGGCTGTGAAACAGTTTTATATGTGTAAGAGCGCTATTTAAATGACTTTATTATTATTTAAGAGGTTAGAGGTAATACTGATCAAACTGATGATTGAATGAAAGTTTTGGGCACTATACTAAACTATATTAGTTATAGCCAAATACCAGTGTTGATCTTGAGCCATGATTTTTACTTACTTTCTTTCTTCCCCCTCCCAATTTTAGGTTTGACTGGTGCAGTAGAGCATGGTTCTCAGTACCAGCTCAAACTCATGTATGAACACAACCTACAGAGGACAGCACACAGCCTTGTGGTTGGACCATTCGGAGGAGTCAAAGGTGAATGAATGAATAAGCAAACTTACATCATAAATGGGTAAAGGGTATCCAAACACCAAAATGGCTGCGCGTTGAAAATCCTGTTCTCTGAATCATTGATCACTATGCAGGGATGCCAATTTTCAGGCAATAGCCTCATGAATTCAGGCCCTGGCGAGTTATTTTCAGACCATAATTTAGGCTTTTTTGTGTACAAACTAGCTCATTCTAGGTGATTTTCAGGCCCTCTGATCAATTCTAACTGGCATCCCTGAGTATGAGATTTAAGGAGTTCTTGTAAAAATTACAAGGAGGGTTATATAATCGTGATAATGTAATTCTTTGGTTTTCGTGAATGTACAAGGAAAACAATTTGATCCTTGTGAGGAGTGGGTGGTCCAAGGGCAACAGGATAGAAGCGGAAGTATTTGGTTCACGTACATGTATCTGTAATGCAGTAATATTTTCTAATGGAATTTTATCTAACGAATTCATTGATTGAAAAAGTAGACTATTCTCTTTAGTTTGATTTACATTTTTATCTCTGCCTAACCCTTTATCTGATGAATAAAGATATGATTTGTTATCTTGTGTATTGCATACTCATCATGTTACATTGCTTTGTGAAATAAAGGGTCTCATCTTTCTTCATCTCTCTTCCCCTCCCTTGTTTCTATCTAATATTTATGCCTCTGCTACAAAGGGTCATACATGTACAATATATGAAAAATAGCTTGTAATCACAATATTCTGAGAACCTGTTAATGCATTATAATCAAACTTGAATTGTAAAATCACACTATGGCGGAGGCATCATTTTCGACTGGGTGCAGTCGGAGGTCCATCTAGTTCTTTAAATAATCTCTGTCTATTTCTCCCTCCATACAGGTAAAGATTTCTTGGGTGTCCAGTCCATGGACGGCACCGTCTCCTTCTTCGAGCAGGAGAGTTTTGCCTTCTGCCGTTTCCTCCCTGGTTTTCTCCTTCCCGGTCCCATCAAGTACATTCCCCGGACAGACTCCTTTGTGACGGTGTCCTCCTCGTGGCAGGTGGAGAGTTACAAATACCAGGTCCTTGCCGTGGCAACGGATGCCAAGACAAAGGAAGAATCACAGAAGATTACCTCCGGCAAGAGGATAACAGTAAGTATAGGTTGTGTGTATTTCTTATTTCTCTCTGTTTTTCTCTGTAAAACTCTTAGAAACAACGTAAATGTAGTAGTGCTATATAGATCCAGAGTATTATTATACTTATTATGAAATCATGATATTAAAATTTATCTCTCTCACTGTCTGTCTCTGTTAATTCCACATCTCTTGTTCTATATCTTTCTATTGTGTATGCCTCTTTTTTTGCATTGCAAATGCTATTTTTACATGCCTTGAGTGCCATTATAGGCAGATATGTGCGCTATACAAATCTTAAATTATTATTATTATTATTATGTAGGTTAACTTTGTCCTGGTATCCTTGAAGAGTGTCTGGCTGAAATGTAATGATTGTACACTTTAACCAATGCCAGGCTAACACCTTTAACTGTAATAATTACATTCATGTTGTTTAACAGGCTGACTGGACATATCCACTAGGAGAGCCTGTGCTAGATATGTCGGTAGTAACTCATGCAAATGCGGCACCTTCAGTAGTCATCTTAGGTAAGTCAATATTCAATTCAATTCAATTCAATAATGATTTATTTGACAATGATGCCCTGCCAAAGGCTGAATGGGGCATGTTGAATGTTCACAACAATTTTTCAACATCATTTCATATTACATAATATTTGTTTAAAAGTAGAATGCTGCAGAATTATGTTTTAAAATTCAATTAATTTGTTCCTTACATAAATGTGCAACATTAAAAGAGATAACATACAAAGTTAAAATGTTTAAAATACAGAATGAAATGATAAAAGTAAGAAGTTCTTTTATATGAGCTGCCAAAATAATTGGATTTAAATGCCAAATGAAGTGTAGTAAAGTGATTTTCAAATTTCGGATGCCGCTACATGTACTGCATTGTGAGTGTAGGACATTTGTCCACTCAGAAAGAAAAATGTAAAGAAGCAATATATTTTGGTGATGTCATTGATGTGAACAAATACAAATATCAAAAAGCTGATACCTACAATTAGTATACATGTACTACATCTAATTATTTTTCCTCCTATCCTGCAGGAGAGAGGTCAATAGTCTGCTTAAAAGATGTTGGAACGTTACGCTTTTCTAAAAAGCTGGAGTACAACCCAAGCAGCTTCTACATCTATGCCTCATGTGAGTATGAAGTTTTCTCTCCTACTCTCTGGTTATAAATATCCTTCAATATTTGAACTAAATTATATCTACAGACTGCAGAATGTGTCTTAAAATTCAACTTTGATGTATATACTTAACTTGGTATTACTTCAGCTTATGTGAGATTTGTATAAATAGAACAATATGATAATATATAGCAACCTAACTTACAGTACTTTCTCTGAGTTACTGTAGTTGTGTCTGAAATGTGAAATTGGCTCATTTGTATTATCTTTTGGTATAAAAGTGAGAAAAAGCTTACGTGAGAAATGTTTACACACTTTTTTGAATAAAAATACTCATTTCTTTCATTAACAATGTGTATAAATATGTTGTTTTTAGCTTTACTGTGCTGTGTTTTTACTTCTTATAATCAATATCCCCCCCTCTTTTTTTTGCAGTAAATGAGAACAGTATACACTATATGGTTGGTACACATACCAGACAACTACTGGTCTATGAAGATACAACTCTTAAGTGGGCTGCAAAGCTTGAACATGTTCCTGTGGCCTTGCAAGTTGGAGAATTTCAGTAAGTTCCTGCCATGTAAATATTCCCCACCGCCTTCTATTCTCGTGGTAAGGTTATACTGCCAATCCGTAATACAAATGGTTTATTGGGCTTGAGCTAATAACAGTTATAAGAGATTGGAAATGCATGGATAGCATATTGCGACTATATAGATATGTATAGTGATGTATCTGGCAGAAAAATATGAAAGCTTGTAAACCTTAGGAATGTCAATGCAAGAGACCAAATCTCATGGAATACTGGTAGGGTCTTGAAGGCAATGAAGAAAAGACAAAAAAACAAAACAAAACAAGAACAGAAGATAAATGGAAATGATTCTTGGGATGATTATAGAGTTGCAAAATATTTTCTAGTTTTAACATGCTGGTATAAACAAATTTTGCAGTTTTTAACTTGGCTTTTGCATGATGGATCCTAACCTCATAACTTTGCTGTGATCATTGTTCATCGCGTACTATTTTGCATGTTCAAGGAAGTAAAAAATCCTTTTATTAAATAATTTAGATTTAGAACATGTATCGAATGATACTTAAGGCTCGTTCAGACATGATGCAGTAAACTGCTGCAATAAAGACAGATTAAAAATGTAAACATGTAATTGAATGGCAACTGCGTGCGACAAAGGTTCTATGCGTATTCACTTAGCTCTGTTTTATGATATAGAAATTTGAAGCGTATTACACTTTAGATCACCATAAAAAAAAACCACAGCAGTTTTGTCGCTTCTTATCTGAACAAGGCTTGACAAAGTACACAAATGTGATTTTCTTTGGCAGGGACCTGAAAGGAGTGATAGTGTGCCTTGATGATGAGGGTCACTTGGTATGTTCCTACCTTGGTACGGATCCGTCCCTCTTCGTAGTGCCGCCTCCCGATTCCAGGGAGATAAACTATGACAACCAAGACAAGGAGATGAGAGATCTTCAAAGAGCCATCAAGGAATCGTCTCATAAAGCAGGTGATGATAGTAGCCTTCATTCTGATTATAACTGCTCTCATCCAGTGGCAGATACATTGATTTGAACACTTTATATCTGTTGTTGAAAATTTTAATTGACAACAATATTGGACTCTTCGGTGCAGAGAGTCCCTGTATGATATCTCTTCATAATTTATTTCATCCGTAAATGAAAATAACCCTTGATAACATTATTGAAAGGTAGTAGTGATACCAGTAGATCCATAATTGAAGGGTCATAAAATGGAGATGGTCGTCAGTTTTCATGTGCAGAAGGTCAAAATGTGCTGACACCAGACTTGGAAGTCTCACACTTAAGACGGTGTCACACAGAGGCCAAAAATCCGGATTTTAGTTATCCAGATTTTAGTTATCCTCTTAATTGCTGTCTGTCATCAATTATCCCTTCAAAAATCCACTAACGAAACAAGAAAATTCTCCCTTGGATTTTCAAGGGAATTTTTTAAGGGATTTTTCTGTGTGACACCGCCTTTAGAAAGCATATTCAAATTAGCCTTGCATATTTCATTTGCAGGGATCATCATGTAAGTTTTCCCTGTAATCAATGACATAAGAATGTCCTTGTAATTAACACCATATGTAGATATCTCTGTAATCAACAACATAAGAATGTTCTTTTAATCAACACGATGTAGATTTCCTTGTAATCAACAACCTTACAATTTCTGTGTAATGAACATCATGTAATTTTGATGTAATCAACAACTCTAGAATTCGCTTGTAAGTTGTAATCAACAACATTGTTTTGAGTTCAAATAGAGTTTAAATCTATTTTGACATGACCTTTTTGTTGTAGACTTTGCTCCTAAGAAGAAGATAGATGATGAACTCACCATGATAGCTGCTGTGCCGTCCAGTCTAGATGAAGATTCAGTAAGTTCAATCTTATTTCCACTCAAAAGCAAGCCAGAAATTTATTGTTAATATCGTTTTATGCAATTTTGTTTTTATTTACGATATGCTGAGTTTCAAGAAAAACAAGTCTGTTTCTTACATTTGTTTGTCTTTGAATAACCAAGAGTATTTTATTTATTGATGAGGTAGAACAAGTTTTCCAGTTTTTATAGACATGTACCTAAAACTGCTCAATCATGGTATATTTTGTGATTGATACAGATTCTAATAGCCATTGACTAAGATCAATTATTAACATTTGTATTGAATGGAGATTCTTAGTCGGCAGTTAGCATTGATTGTATGCATTTTGTTTTTGCGAATGATGTGATCAATTGTGTTTGGAGTTATCACAAACTCTCGATTCTCTAATCTCTAAAAAATGATTTGTTCCGGAAGTCAATATGAATGAATTAAAGCCTATATACACTAGGTGGCCAGGAGGGTTTGGACCTCCCTGCGTGGTCACTGTCAGGTGGTTATCTCATCAAATCAGCTCTCAATTAACATAAGAAAAAAGGGGACCATGGGGGACCAATGGGTTACGCTTAGGTATTGTTGGCTGTATGCAAGGGGCAAGTAGCTACAAGTAATGCAGTCCCGCTTCAGAATTTTTTTTCCCTATTTTTTTTCACCAGGTTGCTCAAGAGACAGAGGTTACAGATGAAGATCCCATACCTTCAATAACTGTCAAGGTAATTATCTCGTTTAATACTTAGTCAAGGGGAGAATATGATTCTGATGTAATCGCCATATCACTAGATTATATTAAATGATAAAGATAAATGATATATAAACTCCTTTATTCTGTTATGGATTTGAAAATAAAACTTTTTTTTCTTTTTCTCCTAAGAATCCACATATTTGTATGTCATATGAATCCACATCCACACGTTTTTGTGTATTCTGATTCTGTTTGATTCGTCATATAATTAACTGTTGTATCACGTTTTCATATGTTCTATCTTACTCCTTTTCTGTTTACAATGCAGATGCTTTATATGATACCAGTTTTTTTATTTGTTGCTAGTATTATTATCATTATTATTGTTAATATTTTCCAGCTCACATTGAAGAGTCAGAGTGGTCTATCCAATGTTCGAGTTCTGCTACTCTGCCCCTACCCATTGGCTGCAACACAGAGTACTTTCACCATTCCCTTTGTGGGTAAGCTGACTTCTCACTTAATATGCAAAGACTCCATGTATCAGCCTTTTTACCTGCAGGAACTGTGGAGTCGTTTAAGCTTTTTACTTGAAATGCAAAGGTCGTTGGGTTCGATCCCTGACATGGCATTAATGTCCTTTAGCAAAGCATTAGTCTACATTTGCCACTCTTTACTCAGGAGAGAAATGGGGGTCTGGTGGGATGACGACAGTCTTTGTTTTATCAATTGCCAAATGTCCTCTAGTGACCATATGGTAGGAATACTCCCCAAGGAGTGGAGATGGTGCACATTGTGCATGGATGAATCTGATGACGGGGTTAATATCTGTAAAGTGCTTTTGTATTAGGTGTTACATAAATCCAGATTATTATTATCATAAAGCAGGGAATAATTTTCCTGGTATCGCATCGCAATTTGCTATGCATTTTTGCATGACTGCTATACAAAATATCTTTTGTGTAGCAGTTTTCTTCCATAGAAATGTACAGAATTTCATTTGAAATATTTATCCATCGCCTGAAATTGCTAATCAAAAAATTTGAGGAAAATTATTCCCTGTAAAGCATAGGGGAAAGAGAGATTTTATATACCTATAAGCACAATACATGTATATTCCTTTCTTGCTTTGCTGACCTTAACATCAATTAACACTTTCTGTTTTGCAGGAGATTCGTCCAATCCAACAACCACAATGATCGCATTTTACATGAGAGGACACTGTCTGCCGGCCTCGCTTGTTGCCAAGGCAACGGCAACATACAATACAGCATCAGGTAAAGTTGTTATACTAAGAGACATATCTTTCTTTGCCTTCAACACAGTAAATTCAATACTAAACAAGAGATAATTTTGAAGATGATTTGCATAAGTGTGTGTGTTCTGTTGCATCCAGCTACCAGGTTATACATTATTAACCATCTCCTTCATATACATTTAAATAATAACGACTGTTTACATTGCTTAAGCAGGACTGCACTACTTGTAGCTACTTGTGCCCTCTATATAGCAAACAATGCCTAAGCGGTACCTGTTGGTCTCCCATGATCCCCTTTTTCTTATATTAATTGAGAGCTGATATGATGAGATAACCATTTGTCAGTGACCAGGCAGGGGGGGTCTAACCCCTCCTGGCCAAACTAGTGTAGATAGGCTTTAAGAACTATAACCATTTTTATCTTATGTAGAAAATAAAGTGATTACAGAAAAAGAAAACTTGTCTAAACCACATTTGTTTATGTTTACTTTAGGAGCACCACGAGTTGTTCAATGTGCAATCAAGCTCCCGCTCAAGCTGGTTTGTAAACCCTGCCCGCCTGCCAAGAATGCGACACACAAGCTCACTCTAGACTCCAACAAGAACTGTGCCAATCTACATGATATATTCCCCGGTAAGTCTCAATGCTGGATATACTTCATAAACTCTGCTGCTAGAGAAATATATTAATTATTGATTATTGATGTTGCCTCATATTAATTATAGATGTTGCCTCGTTTAGAATGAAGGTACATGTACGTGTGGGAAATGTTGCAAACATAGCAATTGTGTGCATTTTTTAAAAACTGCATGCTGTAGAAATAAACATAGAAATCAATACAAAGGTAAAGGTTCTACAAAAGCATATGTAGATGCTGAATTCATACATCATAGATTATAAACTGTGCGTACAATCATGTATAAAACATATTCATGCACTGATGGTTATTTTTCTGCTTGATATGATAACGTGCTTTTGTTTATATACTTCATCAGACACTGTATTTATGTTAATTTCAATGACAGTTGATTATATGAACAATTTGTTAAGTCTATGCCAGGAGAAACAAAATACATTAGGCAGATGTGATAAAGATTCATGTACATTACTTTGATAGTGCCAATCTTTATTGTGTGATGAAGGCTTTTGATTAATTGAATTAACATAATTATGTTCTATCTTAATATCTTTCTCAGATTTAACAGGACCAGAGGGAATGGGTTCAGGTAATGCTCTTGGTCTGCAGATCTACGGCGGCCCCAAAATAACCATCCTTGCTTCTAAATCATCTCGTAAGTGAACAGGATTGTTGACGCTCTGAGTTGGACTGCATTGGTTCTTTTTTTATCTTTTTAAAACTTCATGGTCAAAGTGTATTCCTTTATTCATCAATGTCAGGTAGAATGCGTTAATGTCTGCGTATTTTAATAACTGTGCCATTAACATCTTCTTTCTTTAAAATTATCAACTTGTCTTCTTTCCAAAACAAATTTCCATGTATTGAATTGAATTGAAATTGAATAGTCTTTAGCAGTATACATACTGGTGCAAAATTTTGGGAGAGATATTAAGAAAAGGAAGAGTTTCAGCAATTCCTTTTACAAGACTTGAAATGATGTGTTGATTGCGTGTAAAATGAGTGAGTTCACAGACATTCAGTTCATTTTTAACTTTGTAGTATCAAAATAGCACAACTGTCTTATCCTGTGTTTTCATGTGGAAATTGACATTGTTCTTGATCCATATTTTGAAACAATCGTTTCTCAAGATGCAAGATGTCTTTACGTTACTATGATATAGAAAAACAGCTGTTATATATCCTTTTATTGTAATTCCATTGTATTACTCTCCGTGGTGATTTATGACAATTAGTAAATGTATGTTATAGACTTTGAAGGAGAAAAGTGGCAAGTTTAGTACTTAGATTATCAAAGATAATCATGTGCAGTTATTTTGTAGATGACAGAGAATGATGAATTTAGTATTGCCAGGGATCAACAATTCTTTCTTTGTTGTGCTTTCTTTTGACAGAGAGGTATCGACTTCAGTGTGACATCTTTGAGGCCATGTGGCCAGTGGTCAACGAGTTCATTGACCGTGTCCGGATATTCCATCGGAATACCGGGGTCAAGGACTTCAAGCTCTCTTTCACGTCAAATCTGCCGGTCCAAGAATTCTTTGAGCTCATCGATACCCATATGGAGGTAGGGATTATACTCTGGCTGATAAAAAATGGCTTAACTATATACATAATATCTCATGATGTGTATTGGGGGTTAGGGTTAGGATCAAGGTCAGGGATGTGGTTAGGGCTAGGTTTAGGGTAAAGAATAGGGGGTTAGGGTTAGGGTTAGGCTTAGGTTCAGGTTCAGGTTTAGGGGTAGGGTTAGGTTTAGAGTCGGGGATATGATCAGGGTCAGTGTTGTGGTAAGGGCTAGGTTTAGGGTAAAGAATCTGGTTAGGTTTAGGTTCAGGATTAGGTTTAGGGTTAGGGGTAGGATCAGGGTCAAAGTTGTGGTTAGGGTTACGTTTGTGAAGGGGTATTTTACAGTTTTTCCTAGAAGACAAACATCATATATGTCAGAATGTTTTGGTGCTGCTTGTCATGAAATATTTGTGTAACATTTCTCACACACATGCATGTATAGTCATACCAGTTATTTTCCAGGGCTCTCTTATCTCTTTTAAAGAACTGCATGGTGTAACGCTGTAAAATGTACATAGTAAACTAATGATGTGTCTGGTCATTCATGTATTTCAGTTGAGAGTTCACGCAGAGCGGTACAAGGAGCTTCTAGATCAGAGGGCTAAGCAGTTCAGAGCCATCCAGAGAAGACTTCTCACTAGATTCAAGGATAAGACTCCATCCCCTCTCAACAATCTAGATACACTACTGGAAGGAACTTACAGACAGGTAAGAAAATGGATCATGATCAGATGCCATTGATACAGCAATATTAGCAGGAAAGTAATCAACAGGTTTGAGGTTAACCTGTCGGGACATCATAAGAAAGTCAGTCTGGCCAACTATGATATATGTTTTGAAATCATATTATTGTTGACAAAATATTAGGATTATTAGATACCCTGTAGTAATACATAATTTATAATTGGTTTCATATTGAAGAGTGGTATCAAGAATTGATTATACATCCAATGATAGAATGGATAGGAACATGAGGATGCTCTGATATTTGCATCTGTTTTTTTCTTTCTTGCTTCTTAGAGATGAAGGGGTAGGGTTATGACGGGACTATTTTGGGCAGAGTTGTTGTTGTTGTTTTTATTTCCGAAATCAGATAAAAATATTATACATAGTAAAATGCACAAGATGAAATATTTATACATGTACATAGACAAAAATCGATGGAAAGCCAGATTCAGCAGTGTTTATAGAACACTACTGTTCTTTCAAGCTTGAGTCCAAGCTTGAAGTTAAAAATTTGGTTAGTGTATTAATAAAATTGACTGCAGAGCATCTTTAATACAACCATCATGAGTGATATCTTCAAAATGATTTGGAAGAAATAAGTGAAATACAAGAGAAAAAGGAATTTTGTTTCATATTCGTATTATATATCGTGCTCTCATACGGCGTAAAAAATGATGGTAAAGTAAGTCATGCCTTTGTAGTGGTACCACATAGATATGAGAGCATCTCCTTCTCTTCTTTAGATTCTGAAACTAGCTGAAGGTGTGGATGAGAATCAGAAGGCCCTTGTTCGCTGCTCCATGGGTCTGAGCTGTGCAACCAGTATCATTACCACCCTTCTTGCTCTAGCACATGGGTTCAGCGAATCAGAGAAGGAGATACTGGATGCCAGTCTCTCGTCGCAAGTGCAGTGCGAAGGAGATCAGGTAAGGAGGGTTTACGATAGTGGTTATAGTGATGACGGTGAGGAGGAGGCGGAGAAGGGGAAGAGGAAGAGGTTTAGGATTCTAATTATAATGAGGAGAAGGAAGAGGTGGAGAACGATGGTGGTGGTGGTGGTGGTGGTGGTGGTGGGTGTGGTGGGTGGTGGGAGGTGGGAGGTGGGAGGAGGGAGGAGGGAGGAGGGAGGAGGGAGGAGGGAGGAGGGAGGAGGAGGATAATGATTATAGCGAGTATGATGATGAGGAAGTTGGTGTTGATGAAAATATGGAGGATTATGGCAAAATCAACAATTCATGATCATGATATAACTGTTCAAATTTTCTCACTATTTCCTCACCAGGGTTGGGAGGAAACAGTGGATGCCTCTATCATCAATCTACTGAGGACTTGTCTGGCCAAATCAGCGAAAGACCAGGCCATCAATCCAGCCCCTCTCACCATGTCAGCTGATACCTCCAAGCTCAAGAAGCACATCATGCAGGTCACAGAGAAGCTTGCTAAGGGAGCCAGACTGCAGGTCGAAGGTCAATCACCTGGTGAGTGGAAACAAAGACATTTTCTATAATTTTTTTCTTCTCATGTTCTGTGTTGAACCATACAGGCTGTAGGGCTCCTAAACTTTCACTGAAGAAAAATAAAGTTTTGAAGTAGTATGTCTAGCCATAAATGATGTGTGTGTTTGTATGCCTATGGTAGCTGCTAGCATGGTTTCAGTCATAATTATATATATATATGAAAATATAAATATTTCTTTAAAGGCGTCATTGGAAATGATGTATGTTATACCATCTTATTTTTGGGCTGTATTTCTTTCAATGATGCATACAGGAATGTCAGCCTTTGGCTGTGTCTTATGCAATCGTTTATTTTTTTGTTCTTCTTACAAGTCTGCAAGAAAATTCACTTCTATTTGCCACGATCTATGTCTCCATTATTAAACCATATTAAAATGTTAGTATCTGAATTTCGTTCTTGACTGCTTTGCCCAACATACAAATACTTAATGTTTATATTGTATTTTTTTGTTGGGTTCATGTTATTCCCACTTGGCACATTATTGTGCATATTACTGCATTTAATCTAAACAATTTTCAATGTATAGTTTTTTAATGTGATTTTAAATATTTTGTAAGTTCAATTTGTTTCAACCTTTGGCGGCTATTTCAATTGTATGTTTTGTTAATCAGTAAACTAATTCAATCAATCAATCCTGATCTCATTTATCTTTTATTTAGGTGAAAGGCAGTCTTCAGTGGAACCCCCTTATTCAAGTTCGGCACAGAAAAGCAAGGATTTCTTTGATGAAGAACCACCTTCTAATGAAAGGTTTGTTTTACTTCCCCCCCCCCCCCCCCAAAAAAAAAAAAAAAAATCTTTGGGCATATAAGGAGAGACATAAAAGGCAAGAACATTGTGTAAATCATTAAAAACCTGTTCATGTATGGTCTACACTGAAAAAATGATTTCTTATATTTTGTATACAAAAGGTCAGCGCAAATTTTTTTTTGCTAGTACCTTTGGTTACTTGTGCTTTTGTCTTCTCTAATCATCAAATAACACTTCCAATTTCTACCCTTTTCATTCAGTCCTGTTTCGTACGGGGCACCAGCAGCATCCAAGCCAGCATCCCATCCTCCACCGCCTGCCTACGCTGCGGCACCTCCAGAACGCACACCCAAGGCTGAGAGTGCACCCTTTACCAATGGAGTGGAACCGGCCATGGCGTCCCCGAGGAGCCAGGGTTCGCTAGGTGACCTACCGTCATTGGGAGGCCCAGGGGTGAGGGGAGGGACATCCTTACCACCCCTTGGTGGAGGACCAGGTGAGCATCACAGGGAATAAAAGTAGTCCTCATGCACTTAAAGGCATTGTTTCACAATGTTAAATCTGAGATGCATGGCCCTACGTCTTATCAGTGTATGTGATATGGTGTAATATTGAAGCTCTAAAAAAATTGCGCTTTAAAGTGATCAAGAAGTGCCTCAAAAAAGTAACTTTAAGTGACCGATTTTACCATACTCGTTTTCCCCAATAGACTAGTGTTAAGAGTTAAGAAAAAAACAAGAAATGAAATGAAATTTTGATTTCCAATCATAAATATCTTGATAATCAGACAGGCGATCGGCTGTAAAAGTCATGGGACTGCTGACTGACCTAAATGTTTATAATTATGATTGCAGCATGAGCTAAATCCAGGATTTTGTTTCAGAATCTGAGGCAATGTTACCGAGTCACTTTAACACAATTCCATTTCTTTTCACACTGGCCTTCCCCCTCTCAATTTTTGTTCTCTTTTCCCCCTTATTCTCTCTCTCTCTCTTTCTCTTTCTTTATGTCATCTGCTAGAGGGTATGTTGATACCATTTTCATTTTGGTATGAATATTATTAACCTGTATATAAGGCATTTACATGTTTGAAATATTATATCTGATGATAATATTTTTCTGAAATCTGAAGTGGGATCAATTTTGTTTTTCTTCATTGTATTATGGTAAGGGGGAGGGGGAGAATTTCGAGATTTAAACAATTTGCCTTTTCTGTGATATTCTAATTTTTTTCTACATTATTTATCTCTTTGCAGCTGGTGGTGCAGCAGCACTGCCTTCACTCCAACCGATCAAGAAGAAGAAGAAAAAGAAGAAGAGTTCCAAACATCACGACCAAAATGAGGAGTTTGGAGAAGACACAGATCTGAGTAGCATGGGAAGGAGCTCTCCCGACTCTATCGTCTTATAATCCACAAAGATTCAATGACTCCACGTTGCGTTTTCCACGGGGCCCTATGAGCTTCGGACACTATGTAATAGTGTCAGGCCCTCTAGGTACAATGTATCATCCCGATAGACCAGTTCGTAGTTAGCTTTGTGAGAAGTGAACCCAAATATCTACACCTGGAGATGCCCCACTTTGTGCATGTTGGAATAATCACTGCCAAAGTGAGGGAGGTGCTTCATGGAGATCTTTCCTTTGTCCTCGTGAGAAGAATACTGCCACCCGAGTATCAGACCATGTGCTGTCCGGTGAATACAGGAATATTGATTACATAGCCTTCATGAGCACGAATCCAATATTGGTATCAATGACTTTTACAATTTTTGTGTCACAGCGCTCACGTCGCGCAATTTACGCTGAGCCACAGTGACCGCAGTACACTAGTGCAGTACCTGTGTAGCGCCAGCTAAACATATTTGCATTCTTCAATGTTTCATTTGAGCCGTGCAATTTTCTTTTATTTCTTTTTTGAATGTGATGTGAATGTGAGTACGGTACAAGTTATTATAGAAGTGTTCAAAATATGATACAGATGGAAGGGATATAAAACAAATATATAATGATTCATTCTCGGAACAAGCTAAAACTATTCGCACTCAGGAACAACAATAGTACTATTTGATGTTTTTTTGATGCGAATATTTTAAGCTAGATCTTTGAGTGTCATTGTATATTTAATAATAATTATAATACTCAGTTTTTATATAGCGCTTATTACAAACACTATTAAAGCGCTTCCAAACTTGGAGATTATTATCCTGGCTTTAGCTGTGCTGCCATTACGGCGCTCTAGCATTTCAAAGAATTGATTCCTGCCAGGTACCCATTTATATCACCTGGGTTGAGTGTGGCAAATGTAGATCAATGTCTTGCTAAAGGACATTAGTATACTATCTCTATATTTGTATACTATCTCTATAATGCCTACTCTAGTTTGCTACATTGGTAGCAGGGTTGGTATTCTGAAAGCCCTCAAAGTGGAGGAGTTCGGACAATATACAGATTTAAAAAGCATGGGAGAGGACTCTTCCAGTTCTGGTGTCTTGTAATCCGTAAAAGTCTAAGTCTCTTTAATTCCATGAGGGCAGCTCTTTGCTACATAGGTAATATGAATAGTATGCTAAAATCCTAAACTTTGACAAGACAAAGATCTACATGTAAGTAAAAGGGTGCTCTTTACAGGGTGTTGATGAGGTTCTTTTTATATTGGGACATTCAAAGTTATCTTGGTTTTCAGAATACTGACCGAGACCTCACAGTAGACAAAATATCTTAACCTTCTCTAATATTCTAACTGTAATTGTGTTTGATAATGTCATCATGATACAGCAAATTGTCAGCTCTACCTTTTTTTGAAGCCACAGCTCATTAAATCAAGCAAAGGTCATTGACATTTTCATGAGTGCAAAGCTTTATATAGAAGAGGAAATACTGAGATTGCATGGAGTGAAACTCCTAAAATTGTTTCCCTGAATCTGAAATATATAGCCTTGAAAAAAAATAAACACAAATGATAAGTGGATTTTAGCCTTGTGTTGTGAATTTACCAAGAATTGTTAAGCTATGTAGAGAACATAGAGTAATGAAGCAAACAATACAATTCATGAAAATTATTTCAAAAAACTATGCTTTTTGCATTATATGAAAGTTGGAATATGAAATTTGCTTTTGCAGTGCAACAATAGGTTCCAGACGTTATGGTAGTCATGTGAATTCAGCTTACCTTCAATTCAATAATTTCTTTAGAAGGAATTGAAAAATAAAGAATTAAAAAAATACTTTATATACTGAATGAAAGTGAAACCTTTCCTTACTTGGAAATGACTTTTCCTGGCAAGGCCTTAGCTTTGTTTGATGATGTATTTCCTGGAACAGTGATCGGAAGCTTTACGTTTATAAAGGTAAAGGCCAGTTTTGGAAACGCCTCCATTTAAAAAAATGAAACGGAAGCTCTTATTACCAATCAAGTGAAAGAATATGTTTTGACTAATACGTGATGATACAAATGTTGCCCGGAAACCGCCTACTAATTGATATATTTGGTAAATTATTATATCTACCCGGTATCTGGACTGGATAGATGTAGGTTAGTCCCATATACATCTTTCTGTGTACAGTGCTTGTAACTTTACCAAGACTGGGCCAAATTTCTTATCATTTTGATGATTCCAGAACCTCGCAATACACACCAATACAAATATATGCTAGATGATCAACCTTTTCTGAGCGATTCCACAGCGTTTCTTTCACAATGCAATCGCATGACTAAAACTGGTCTTTACCTTTAAGTTTTGAAACAAAAGTGTATGTGTGTCTCAATTCAAAATAATAATAAATGTAGCCGAGTCAAGTAATGTTTTCCACAGAATATGCACATGGAAAGAAGTCACTTTGCTGTGGTAGATGGATATGATTTAAATTGTCTCTTTTTTTGCAAAGGGACTATTTGTTGTATGAACTTTCCTACGACATTGCATATGGAAACTGAATAGTTCCTTTATCAAAGCTGTGGCAATGGAAGAAGTCTTTGGTCAACTGGTTTAAATGAACAAATCAGTGTCCGAAAAGAAACCCAGCAATATCTTGATATTCACAGAATGGTACACCTAAAAGTGGTTTCCCACAAGTTAGTCACAACATGGACACTTTAAAGACACTCAGTAACAGCACGTTTTAGTTTTATCTCAACTTTTGAAAGTTTATGTACACTCCCCCTAGCCAAAGTACAATAGCAGACAAACCTGACAAAGTCGAAAGGTGTAGTATTCCTTGCTTGATGCTTCTAGTCAAATAGATCTTGGTTCTTGAAGTTATTTGACAGGTTTTAAAAAATAATATTTGTGAGTATAGCATGATGATTGAACTGATGAAGAAGATTATGGTTTATTTATTTATTTATTTATTATTATTTTTTCAAATACAATTTTATGAGTGCAATTGTTGGTGTCAACTAGAGATAAATATTGATTTACACACATTATTTGTTGTCTTTATCTTCTACACAAATGTGACATGTAAAGTGTAAGTTCTTCAAACACAATGGGATTAAATGTTCACTTCCGATTTGAAGTTGTGTATGTATCCAGTACTGACAGCTTCACAAGCATAATTCAATGGAATCGGCTGTTTGATCAAGATCCTCTATGTATGTTTTTGTATTTGTTTTGATTATTTATTCCTGATTTGTTAAAATCAGTGCAAGTTACTGTGTACACGTCACTTCTGTGTGTTGTTGAAATGTTACCTTAATTACGAGGAAAAAGGATTCAGAAATCTTATCATGAATTAAGAATCACTCAAATCATCCTTTCAGAGAAAAAAAAATTGTGATGATAGATTCAATAGCTTTATGTCTATATTTTCTATGCACTTTTCTCATCGCAATTTTTTTATATTTTCATTTAACTATTTTTTCTCTCTCATTTGTTGTGAAATATGTCCTCTCATTCTTTCAACTCACAACAAAAAACTGTGATATCATATACATGTAATGTTGCTGTGACAAATGGTACTAATAGTATACATGCGTGTAGGGCAGTCAAACCAGTACTACCTAGGTTATAGATTACATATATATGTGAAACTAGATATGAATACATTTCTATCTCTTGCAACTAGTACACTTGTACTATTTCCGTCGTGAATAACTTGGATCAACATTGACTTGTAAATATAGCTGTATATATTGTATTTTGCAAATAGATTTTTTTTCTCCGGTGAATAAAAGTAAGCATCTATCTTCAATCTTCACATGAAGAGCTTCTAATCTTGATTGATTTACTTATTTTTGTGTCTTTCGAATTCTGGGAAGTCAAAATGTTTGTTGTATGAAAGGGTGCTGTAAGGTAGATTTAGGAGTGGGTTTTCTCTATCTTATGTTAACTTAAAGCCATGTTCCATCTCCTTTTCCCATCGTTCCATTTACATGGGCGTTTGTAATATCCTCCTTGATCTGTCTGTCTGCATTCTCTCAGCTCTCTTAGCTCTCTTTTTCTGTCTCTCCCTCTCTCTCTCTCTCTCTCTCTCTTTCTCAGCTCTCTCTTTGTCTTTCTCTCGTCTTTCTCTCTCTTCTGTCTCCTTTTTTTTTTTACTTGGAAATAACAAGGAAAGAGATACCGTAACTTAAATGAACATACATTAAGACAACAAGAATGCATTTTAAATTCTTGAAATATTTTTTAAAATTTCTGTTATATATTCATTTATTCCAGTAATTTTTTCAGATTTAAACGTAGGTGGATCAGGTGATGTCATAGATGTATGAATGAACTGTCCCCTTGCGCAAGTTTGTTAATAGGTTTGTTCAAAACACAAATTTTGGGTTGGCTGATGTTTAAGCCTTTGTCTCTCGAATTTCAAGTCTCTTCTATAGCAGTCTTTACTTTCGTGCAGGTCTATCGTCTTGATCTGTCTTGAGGTCTGTCTTTTATCAAACAAACTCCTTGAGTAAGTTTGTGGAGTTGAAACTATATTTGATCAGCTAATGGTGAGCTTGCATCTTTTATAGCAGGTTCATTCTCAGATTTCCAGTCAGTTCTCGTAAATCTTGACTACCGTATCTTGTAGGTCTAAGATCTTGATTTCATTCAGGCCTGCTGCGTACCAGTAGCTAACAAAACGCACGACTCCTGCAGGTTTTGGAGATATGCTGAAAGCACATGGCCAGCCCGGTGACGTTTAGCCTGCATTCCTCAAAGCTAGTTGATCGAATCTCAGATTTCCAGTTCGTTTCAATGCTATCATGATATTGATCTGTCTTGATCGAGGCATGTCTTTCATCCATCAAAGTGCGTGGCTACTGCAAGTTTGTTGAGATTAGTTGAAACTATATTTGATCAGCTAATGGCAAGTTCGCATCTCTTATATAGCAGGTTGATTCTCAGATTCCCAAGTCTGTTCTGGTTAAGTCTCGACTCCCTCGTCCAGAGGTTTGGCATGCATCTAACAGAGTACATTGTGTCCATCCGCAAGGGTAGGGAGATGAGTTGGAAGCATGAGTCCAGCCGATGTTAAACCTAGCTGCATCCTTCAAAGCATGTTGATTCTCCGATTGCCATTCTATTCTAGAAAGTCTTGAAAATCCAGGAAGTAACTGATCTTGGTGTTTTGGAGTATAGATTGCAGGTTTACAGAAGCACAAACAACGTATGATCGATCCTCTATTCTCGTTTGAGTGTCTCCACATCTAATATAACATTTTCCTTTTGTAATCACTGTCTCTAGAATACATTGTTTGTGTGCTAATTTCGATTCTCATGAACCGCCAACAATTATTATTGCCACTCTGACCCCGAATCACGTTTTTGATCCATATTCTCATGTCTGTGCCTTATAGATGCTACTTGATCCCATCTAAATAGTCAGCCAGGTAGGTGATCTAGGAGTTCAGGGGAGGGGGCATGGTGTGCATGGGCCAGAGCATTCCCCACATATGCAGCGTAGGACTACAATTACTCAGTTGTTTGTCCCTCATCCCATTATTATCTCTACCCCAAGATGGACAGCCGCTCTGGAGGCTGGTGTACTTGGACGCCTCTGACCAAGAACTGCCTGGGTGAAAACAAAATACATTTGAACGAAAGATAGATAAACGATTACACTAATGATCATGGGAACCAGATACCCGTTTTCTTACATCATAATCACCCTTGCGCTTTCGATTCCCTAACTCTACGATGTCAAGTTGATGTTACGTCTCATCAAGTATACATCTTACTGTTAAAATTATCCTAAACGTATAACAAAAACTAACAAACACTAGGCCTAAATGATCTTCCGCCTCTTCTTCCTTCACTCATTTTTGACTTCTTCTTTTCTTTTTTCTTTTGAAAGAGCTTTTTTTTCTATCATGCTTCCAGGATCGTTTTTCCCTAATTTCTTCTCTTTAATCTATTTCCTTCTGAGTCCTCTTTATAGTCGATCTTGTCTTAATTGTCTCCTTCCTTTGCTCTTTTTTCTCATAATTTTACCCCAATATGATTTTATTATTGAAATCTATTTATTGTAAATGTCTAAAAACTATAAATACTTTTGGACTTACCTATCAGGGCGATTTTTCAAGAGTTGTAATTTGATCATCATTCATGATTCCTTGATCTGTGTAACCAAGGCTTCATTGAGTCCCATCTTGTCATCCAAGAAGACCCTTAAAGACCCTTATTATAGGGGAAGTGGACTTCGATCCGTAGCCATATCCGTTTTATCCCTTGTGTGAGGTCAGTTTATCTGGTCTTATCAGGCAATGAATCTGTTTTTAGAAAAGAGGATAGTTAGGACTGTAATTGAAATAACTAGCGCTATTTCTAAATTCAACCTGGAAGATGTTATTTTGTCGATGCTTTTGTTCTCTCAGTATAACTACTTATGTTTTTTTCCTTTTCTACTCTTATTCTTTCAAATACATAGTTCGCTCGCGAATAAAATGAAAGCTTCACAAAACAGTATTAAACTGACCTTTGACTACTAAGGTACTTCAATATGAAGAGAGGATCTTCTACTCCAGCTAGGCTTGAGATTCGATCTCGACTATGTATCTCTTTAAAAAAATCTACGATGTACTGAGAAAGCTCTGATACTTAGTTGCGTCATTGTTTGACCATGATAATATTTTCCAAGTTCCTATATTATTTATTAAAAAAAGAGAATTACCATTCATATAGATTTGCTTTTTGCCCTCATGTTCTGCTTTAATTTGTTCTTTAGGCCTACCATTCTCGTTTTAACCCATTGTAATGACTGCTCTTTCTAGCCGTTAGAGCTCTACATGTATTTCTATTACATTCGCGTATATCATGATCATGGGCGTCAATCCGTAATACCTATTGTTCAGGGGGTGGGGAATGAATGAATAGATCACCCCCCCTGAACAATAGGTATCAATTATTACAGATTTACGCCCATCATCATGATATATTTATTACGATCATGCATATCATAATCATCGCCCTAATGTCTTGAAAAGTGTATATGTCTTGAAAAACTCTATATTAGTCTGTATTCTTTTGTTTCTCCCACTTTCAAAATTCTATTTTCCCCATGAATGGTTTCGGCTTCTCCTGTAATATTAACATGGGTAAATTTACGTTTTCGCCTTTATTAATCGAAGCACACTTCTGCTCTGCATGAGAGGGGGCCTAGTATACTTACGTGAATGTGGACTTACCTTTGACCTTTGACCATCATCTCACTCCAGGAAAGTTCATCTTGATTTACTCATTATCCACTTCAGACACGAGACTCGTATCCAATCCCATCTTCTCTCATCCACGATGTCCTGATCGCATACCAGAGAAAACTCTCATCCTTGGTCGCATTCTCCACCTTGACCAAGTAGGCCTACCCGATTTCATCTACTATAGGTCGCTGGTAAGCTCATCTCGTATTTACAAGTGCCTGTACGTGTAAATAAAATATATAAAAACAGAATTAGATGATAACATCTGTAAATTATCAATTTAGTTTTCATGTCTTATTTTGTGTTTATGCTTCTCTATCAACATCATTTAACCAATAATTTGTTTGTTCTTCTTCTAGTATTGAAGCTCTATGACGAATAACCTATCATCATTTTAATGTGTCTTTGCATGTTTAGGAACTCATTATCAGCTTTTAACAGATATGTAACTACTATCTTACTCCCCTTTTAACATTTAACTCTTAGATATTCTTTATCCTTTTGTGTTTAACATGTTTTTTTAATGATTGAACAAAACTTGAGCCGCAAATCCTCAGAGAAAGTACTTACATTTCATATTTGACCTTTGTTCCAAATCTCATTCTAGGAGAGTCCCTTTCCTTCCTTCTCCATTTCCTTGATTTACTCATCATCCACTTCAGGTACGAGACTCGTATCCCATCCCATCTTCCTCATCCACGATGTCCTGATCGCATACCGGAGAAAACTCTCATCCTTGGTCAAATTCTCTTTCTCGACAACGTACTCGATTTCATCCACCAGGTCGTTATACGTTCGAGCTACTCTAACAGCCTGGATGATAATGTTGATTAATCACAAAATTATTAGGTAATAGAGTGAAATTATTTAATATATTTATCTTCTCCTCATCTTCTGCTGATACTATCCCAATAGCTTTTCCTCTTCGAAAAAGGGTTTATATTTAACGAGAAGGAGAAGAGAGACAGATCAGAAGAATAATGAATAGAAGTAAATGATTTATATGAAGAAGAAGCAGAAGAAGAACATGAAAAGAGGGAAGAGCAATAACAATCAATGAAAATAACATAAAGAAAAATAACGAACATTGTGTCGACAAAAAAGCAACCAAACAACATCAATAAGAAATAGACAAAGTAGGAACCAAAATATGGAAGTAAAATGTCAGAAAAGGAAAATATAAGCAGTAAAATTACTTACCGATAGGCCCATCTTCCATTCACCTTCTTCGATCACTTCATCCTCCTCCTCAGCCTCAACACCGGCGATCCACTCCCTGATGTCGAACTGGTCATCATCTTCCTTGTCTTCAAAACCATCATCATCGTCGTCAGCGACGTCACTTTTATCCGGTGTCTGCTCGAAATCGTCGCCGTTGTCACTGTCATCAGAGCATGTATGTGACTCGTAGTCTGACTCGTAAGCGACGTTGAACATGATTGGAGAAGTCGAAGAGTCGCTCATGATGTCCACACTCTCCACTGCATGAAGTAACAAATATTGATGTTAACACTTTGATATAATATGGTTAGAAAATAATATAGATGATCAAATAGTTATAGCTTATTGTTATATATTTTGTATCAATTATTTTCATGTGAAGAAATAAAATGATTCAAGTTGAAAGAGACACATTGTTCACATTGAGGCTGAATCATACTGATAATGCTGGATCTTACCTGAGCCATGTACTCTGCAGCTGGCCACTGTCTCTAGGTGGTCTCCACCAGAATAATCAGATCCATCTTCTCCCACAATAGATCCAAGCTCCTTCTCATCTTCCTGCTTATCCTCCTGCTCCTTATCCTTATCCTCCTTCTTCTCTTCTTGCTCCTTCTCCTGCTCCTTCTCCAGCTCCTTCTCCTTCTCCTCCTTCTTCTCTTCTTGCTCCCTCTCCTGCTCCTTTTCCGGCTCCTTCTCCACCACCTCTCCACTCTCAACTGTAGAAACAAATATTAGATATTTTACATTTATCAACAATTAATGTTGAAAATACTTTTAATTATTATTCATATTTTAGCTAATTAGTATACATTTTAGCCTCATTTCTATATTTAGAAATACGATATTTCAAGTTAGAAGCGACACACGGTTCACATTTAGGGTGAAGCAACATTTCTCCATTTACAAGATACTGATAATGATGTATGTCTTACCTGAGTCATGCACTCTGCAGCTGCTGGTCACTGACTCCGGGCGGTCTCCACCGGTATAATCAGCTCCATCCTCAGTGCTCACACGGGATCCAAGCTCCTCCTCCTCCTCCTCCTCCTCCTCCACCTCCTTCACTTCTTCATCCTTCTCTACCTCCTCCTCCTCCTCGTCTACCTCCTTCTCCTCTTCCTCCTCCTCGTCCACCTCCTTCTCCTCTTCCTCCTTCTCTACCTCCTTCTCCTCCTCTATCTCCTTCTCCTCTTCTTCCTCCTTCTCCACCTCTGGTTCTACCACGATCTCCTTTTCTTCTTTCTCCTGCAGTTCATCCTCGTCAGTCTTGTGCCCCTCTTCCTCACTTTTGTTTTCCTTTCCAAGTCCATCTTCAGGTTGATCATTCTTCTCAAGCTCATTTCCCTCCTCCTCCTCCTTCATGCTCTTATTCTCCGCTTGGCTGTCCTCCTTCATCTCAACCAGGTCCTCGTTCTCCTCCTCAAGGTCTTCCACCACCATCTGCTCATCAGGGTGGCGTACTAAAAATGAAGGAAAAAATAATATATTTTTGTGGTTTATGATCCGAAAAATTCTCAAAAGTATACAGTCCTATGTTTAATAATGAACTTTTCAATTAAATTCTATTCCATTCAAAATTCTATTCAATTCAATTCATTTATTTGTGGGTATAACCCTTAACAACTTAGAACATACAATTGAAAAGGGGGAAGTTGATGTGAGGCCATTACTGAACGCCCTAGAGTGATGCGGCAGCTGATCATCACAACAACAACAAACAAACAAACAAACAAACAAACAGAACATAAGGAAAACACAATAACAGCTGACTGAAAATTACCTAGACAGACGATGACTGTATTCGTTGCCTTGACAACGGATGTAGTAGTGTCTTCCATCTCCTCCTCCTCCTCTGCCATTCTCTCATCATCTTCATCCTTGATCACCAAGGAGGATGTGATTCTGATGTCATCATGGGTTGACTGAAGGTCGAGTTCAGATGCAGAATCAATTTCCAAGTTTGGTAGAACTGGCACAACCTGGTTAAAAATATATATTTAAGAAATAATTTATTTTTTTCCTGCTTTTCCAATTTTTCTTACTGCTGGTGAGAGTAAGAGGTTGTACGTTTTATATTTCATACTTTATATGCTAGAAGAATAAATCGTTTAGAACATAGTTTGATATCTGAAGAAAAAAAAAACGAACTTAACGTAATAAAACCCCTAGAAATTTCATTTATGATGAAGAAATACATTATTAGTAAAACGAATAGACAAACTACCTTATTTCGCCGTTTTCGAGAAAAAATATTCCCTAAACATGACCTTGATAGGCTGTTCCCCATGTCGGTGTAATATGGCTATATAATTGCAATGAATTAAAGAAATGTCCGAAAAGACGTTTGCTCAATCAAGACAAAGCATATAAATGACTGTTTACTGTAGTTAGGTCTATATAGGGGAGGGTTTCGGGGTGCTACGCGCATGCGTTATGTGTCAAGGGTGATGCGCGTGATGACGTCAACAATGGGAGTTTTCTGCTGCGGATACTACTAGTTTACTATGTCACTTCCAAACTGCTCCGATGATCTCACTTGTTGATTGTTTAACTTGACATAAAAAAAAGCAGAGAATTACAAGGAAGAAGTAATATAAAATTACATCATCATCATTCAAACTTATGTTTCCGAATTCTCTCGATGATTTGGTATCCATGTAATTCGACCTACGACATTTCAAATCTCTAATTTTTCTGAACATGAGTGGGGTGCGCCAGTTCGTAATTTAGCGTACGTCATTTTTTTTTGTCGCTATTAAATCGTCTTTCAGGAATAAAGAGGAGATTCTTATTTAGTGAATGTAATGAAATGAAAGGATGATTTGTTATTCAATGTTTTACTCCCCAACCCCAGTACTCTCTCTCTCTCTCCTCCTCCTCTCTCACTTACTTACTCCCTCCCTCCCTCCCTCCCTCCCCCTCTCTCTCTGTCCCTCATTCAGGAATAAACATTGCATGCTGAAAGCAAGAAGGCAGTTACTGCCGTTTTTGCTTGCAGCTGGCGTTATATGATGGTAGCACTTTGAAGACATTTTTTCTCAATTCATGAGACATTATGATGTTTGTTTGATAATGATTGTTTTACCTGACTGCTAAGAACGCATGTAGGCTTATATATTTGTAAGTAAAGAACCCGGGGACCGACAAACATTTTGACTTCTCAGAATTAGACGAACACAAAAGAAGATTGAAGATAGATGCTTACATTAATATTCACCGGAGAAAAAAAAATCTATTTGCAAAATACAATATATACAAGTCAATGTTATTCCCGACGGAAATAGTACAAGTGTATTAGGTAAGAGATTGTATTCATATATAGTTTTGCATATGTAATCTATAACCTAGTTTTGGTTTGACTGCCCTACATGCACGTACGCTATTAGTACCATTTGTCACAGCAACATTAGTTGTATATGAATTCAAAAGTTTGTTGCTGTGCTCTGACAAAATAGGAGGATATGTTTCATAATAAATGCGGGAGAAAACATGTATTTTACGAATAATCAACGAAAATAAATAAATTTCAATGAGAAAAGTGGATAGGAAATATAAACTCATAAAGCTACTGAATCTATCATCACAATATTGCACAAAGATGGTTAGAGTTGTAGTTAATTCCCCACTGCACTACTTATAGCTACTTGCGCCCTCTATACAGCTAACAAAGCCTAAGCAGGATCCGTTGATCCCCCATGATGCCTTTTTTCTTACGTTATTTGAGACTTGATTTGATAAGATAACCACCTGCCAGTGACCTTGCAGGGAGGTCTAATCACTCTAGAAAACACCCTTCCCCCCGCCCCACACAACATTTAAACACATAACACGTACAACAGTATACAAAACACACTCCAACATAGAACGAACAAACAGACAAAAGAAGAAAAAAAAAGAGAAAAAAGAAAGAAAAAAAAAAGAAGATATAAAATAAAATCAAAAATAAAATAAATAAAAAATAAAGCAAAGGTAGAGAAGAGAGGAGGGTCTGGAAGTTTTATATTGAGAAAATTAAAAACAGAAAACATTTATTCTAAACTTTCCAAGGCTTCCCATTTCCTTAAATGAATTGAAAGGGTGTCTCTTTCCAATGAAAGTTTTTTCTCTTCATTTCTATTTTCCAATAATCTATATTTTCTTTCGTTTGCTTTTGGAGGGTTTCTCTTCTCTCTACTGTGGAAAATCATAAATTTAATCAAAATCACAATGTGGTTTAATAATCGCTCTGTTTTTAAAGTAGTGTCATCTATTCCTATATTCAATTCAATTCAATTCAATTTGACTTTATTCAAGTCCATTTAAAAAAAGTACATTGAAAAACATTGTACATTGACAACATATTTACATGTAGGATACACAGTATACATTGAACTTTAAACACACAATTAAAAAGAGAAGTAAAGACAAGAGTAGGAAATCAAAGAAATAGATAATGAACATGAAATGGAAATTGCAAAAGAACCAAATAAAGGTTCTGTCGAGGCAATCCCAAGCTTATTAAAATACCGACATTTTTACTGATAAAGAATTAGAAAAGCATAGTGTATGGCAAAAAAAGTTTAAAAGTTATAAAAGTTTAAAAGTTATACAAGTTGGGATGGATTAATTATTTTGTAGAGTATGTGAATAAAAAAACCTTAAGTTTTGATTAAAAATAATTAAGAAACGAAATCGTTTTAATATAGTGGGGAAGAGAGTTCCATGTTGACGGTCCTTTTGATTTGAAAGAAAAAGATGATGCTGTATTTTTACATTTTTCGACAAAGTAATTTTCTGGATTTCTGGTATTATAATTATGCATTTCTGTTTTACATTTAATAATAGAGACAAGATTATATGGTAATTTGTTATGTTAATGTTTAAAGACCATTAATGAGATACAGTAGTTATTCAATTGATATATTGTGAAAAGATTAAGTTTTTTTAAATAGTGGTTGTGAAGGAGCAGTATAGTGAGACACTGAACATATTCTTACAATCTTCTTTTGCAATTTCAATAATCCGAGGAGCCTACTGGGATATGTATTAGCCCATACAACATTGCAATACATTAAATAAGGTAAAATCATTGAATTATACACTAAGATTAAAATATGTTCTGGCAAAAAGTGGCGCAGTTTGCTGATGACACCAATATTCCTTGATATTTTTTTTTAGATATAGTAGATTTATGTTCGACCTATGATAAATGTTGATCGATAACAACTCCTGAAATTTGTGGATTGGACACGCTTTATGATTACATTATTCATACTAATATTAAGATTGTTCAATAAATTTTCTGTAATTGTATTTTGCTTACGATGAAAGTATATAAAGCTAGATTTGGAAGTGTTAAGAGATAACTTATTACAATTAAACCACTGTGAAACATGGCATAATTCCTCATTAAGAAATTTACATAAATCATAGAAATTGTCATGGCTATAAAGGTTATTGGTGTCATCAGCAAAAAGAATGAATTTCAATTTATCAGAGCAATTAATCAAATCATTTATATACAGTAAAAACAAAAGGAGCCCCAGGATTGAACCCTGTGGTACTCCACACTTTACTCTCATTGGATCTGATAAAACATCGCTGTAAACAGTTATTTGAGTTCGATTTTTTAAGTAGTTTTCAAACCATTAGGATACTGTGCCTCTAATACCATATACCTTCAATTTTTCTAACATAATTTCATGGTTGATCGAATCGAAAGCTTTACTCAAATCTAAAAACACCCCAACGGAGTGTAATTTGTCATTTAAAGAAGATATCTGATAATTATGTAAATCAACAAGAGCCATTTCAGTGAATACATTCCTGGTAAAACCATACTGGCAAGAATTTAATATTGCATACTTTGTTAAAAAATGTTCTAAACGATTGTAAACAATTTTTTCTAAAGTGTTGAGAAAAATGGTAGTACTGATATTGGTCTATAATTTCCAATAACATGTGTATCATCTTGTTTATGTACTGGGGTTACTTTAGCAACTTTCATATCAAATGGTACTTTTACCAGTACATAAAGATAAATTGAAAATATGAACAAGAGGTTTTGAAATATATATTTCTTTCCCGGATAATTTCTTCAGAATTGGTAAATTAAGTCTATCTGCACATTTCCCCCAAACTTCCTTTATTGTATTACATTAAAAGATTACATATTGATAAGTTTCTTCAAACTTTTGGCAAAATGAGCACAACCCATTTTCATGGAACTTGAATCTATGTAAATGATGATTTGTTTATAAAATATTATGCAACAGTTTGGACTGGAATTCTCGCAGTTTACTACTTAAGGTACACATCCTTGGTTGAACAAATATCTTTTCTACTTCTTTTCTTGAAATATTATAAAGTAACATTAAATTGCCGCCTGCTGAGTTTGTTTCTACATTCTTTTTAATTTGACCCTCATATACCATTTTTGCAGTTAAACCTTCAAATGTAAACACGTCTTGAAAAAATAAATTCTAAACTAAAGCCAGTGTGAATTGACTTTCTTAAAGGTTGAACATTTTGTTTCCATTCAAAAGGGGCTACTTTATAAATTGTGTTTACTTCATCAATTTTGTTTACTTTATCGATTTCCACTCTACTCAAACCTAGTAGGTATAGTAATCCATGGATATCGTGTATTTTTTGCTCTTTTTAAAAATTTTGAAATCATGTTAGAGAGAGAAAACTTTTCCTTTCGAAAACTTGTTTGATTTGATTTGATTTTGATTTATTAGTTTCTGCATCTTTTTTCTTTTTTTCATCATACATTTTAATGAACATAATATGGTTTGATACAATATTTTAAGTGTATATAATTTTATACAGATAATAAACGAGATTAAACAAATATATTGAATGCATATTTAACATACATTAGATGCAGGAGGGCTACAGAAATAAGCAGAGTAGCTTGACGTGCCCGCAGCCCTCAACTTAGATACAACAATACAAAATATAAATCAAAAAGAGGGTGACTTGCAGAGAAGAACAGGAAAGGAGAGAGAAGGAGCGTTGGTAATTATACAATAAATCTCATACATCTGCTGATTGAATGTAGGTTCATTCATGAATGGATAAACGATGCTAGGTCATGGACGATTACACATCATTGTTGAATAAACAGTCAATGTACACACGAACATGAATACAGTAAAATTACACACGACAGGATCAATACTTAGACAATAACATAGTTTTAACTGCCTTCTTAAAAGAATACAATGTCCTAAGGTTTCTTATTACAATGGGCAGAGAGTTCCAGATGTCTGGGCCGGCGTGTCTAATGGATTTGAGAGCCAATGCGGTTTTTGGATTTCTTAAATGGAATTTTTCAGTTTGCCTTGTAGGTTTCTGCAAAGCTTTTATTTTCTTTCCCTCTCACTTTCATTTAGTGTTCAGTAATCTCACTGGTTTGTTTTTATTTTCGTATAAAACCATCACACCAATACATACATAAATGAGTTTTACGGCGGATAGCCTGTTCTTCCATGGGGTCCGGATAAAAAGCTATTACATAAAAATTAGATATGTTATACAATCATGGGGAAATTAGAATTAAAAGTATACAAATGCAATATAAAAATTTCTTTAAACATAATATAAACAATATAACTAAACATGTATAATATATTTTGGAGTCTAATAAATTCAATTTACATCTAGAATTCATATTCAGTGTATTTTATAAGGGATACAGAACCGCACGAGCCCTGAACAAATAAAGTAAAAGGAAAGAGAGGTAAACAGATTATTGAGCACATTTCTAAGATACTGTGAAAAGTTGTCAGATTGGATTTGAAATTTTGAATCGCGCAAGCACTACGGGTATTAGCTGGTAATTTGTTGTACAATGAAGCTCCTCTGTAATAAAATGTTCTTTTACAATTATTGGTTCTCGGTCTAGGGAGACTTAGATTACCTATAGAACCGGTCTGTGATTGTCAATCATTACCTTTTTGAGCTTTGATCGACCGTGGTTGAATCAGCAGTTTTGAATTACCATCATGATTTCCGCCATTTCCAGCAATGATGTATCATACATATTATTACAGAAATCATGTTAGAGAAAGAAAACTTTTCTTTTTGAAAAACAGTTTTTTGCAAGGTTTATTTTTCTTTCTCTCTCACTTTTATTTCATAATGTTATTGGTCTGTGATTGTCAGTCATTACCATTTTGAGCTTTGACCTACCGTGGTAAAATCAGCAGTTTTTAATTATCATCTTGATTTCATGCAATGGCGTATCATACTTAATACATTTAAAGTAGCTATGCATGAATCATTAGAAAACTATTTAACCCTATTTCTACAGCACCCCCAACCACACACTGGCCATGGAAATTGGGTTTAAAGCAGTACCAGGTGGAAAAAATTGCCACGGGTGTTATTATGTATCCAACCAACTTTGGGAACTTGTCGACAACACTCTTGTTTCATAAATCAATACTTACGGTCTGGTTTGGGTTTTTTGTCATCTTTAATATTCTTGAACCCGCCCTCACTCTTTGGGAGATGCATGAGCTGGATGCTCCGGTCTGGGCGAACCAGAATCTCCAGCATACGGAAAGCTAGCGGTGTGTTTGACGGGATCTCTAGGGTACGCTTTCTGTTACTTCTTGCTGAGGCCTCTAACCCAATCTGAAATAATTCAACAATATCATCACCACCAGCATAAAAGCAATAACAAAAATACCAGTTATACCACGTAAATGACCAAAGCGTTCATAGTGTTATTACACCATTCACTAGATTCATTTACGATTATGTACTTCACAATGCACAGTCACCACTCCTATTGGGAGCATTCGCCTTTTCAGAATTCAGGCACACGTATATACGTGCTAATCCTATCATATTGACGTTCGCAGACTATCGGGTAGCCCATTAATAGTTTGGCGGACAGGTGGCAGGAGCAATGTAAAGACGCAAGTGCTATCAATGCCGAGGCTCGGTCGAACCCACGATCTTAGTTTCAAGTTTCAAGTTTCAAGTTTCAAGTTTTTAGTTTGCATTCGAAGTCAAATGATGAACCAGCACCACTACGACCTCATTACATATCAAACCTTGAACATTATTTATACAATATGTACTAAAATACGGTAAATAAAACCCGATACCGCATCAGTTACGCATCTGCACTTTCAGTACACATTCTCCACTCCACAAGGAGCATTCCCGCCAAGTCCCTTATACGGAAGGCGGTCACATCTAACGATAATGTATAGCCCCCTAATATTTTGTTTCTAAACGCTTTACTTATTAGATTTTATTACCCCGTTCATTGGATTCAATTGCTAATCCACATACCATATTGTACACGCTCTGCTCCCTGGGGAGTATACTAGACAGGCGCCATTTTACAATTGCACGCATGCCTATCCAACCCCATTTACGTTGGCGTCCTACCGGGTACACATTTGACTATATATCCGGTGGAAAGTGGCAAACGTAGACCAATGTTTTGCCAAAGAACAATAGTGCCAAGGCCAGACTCGAGCCGGAAAATCATGACTTGTGATCCACATCCCGGTGACGTATTCACTGAGTCACTAGACCTTTGTTTTGTTTTCCTTCTCTAACATCTTTATTAGACTATAGTGTCGTATATTCGTATGGAAACTAAAATTCACTGACACTTTCGGTTTGTGATAGCGAAAGAGAAAAACGGATGTTATTAACCAAACTAACATCTCATGACTCTAGGCATTACGATTTTAAAGCCACGTATTTCAGTATCTTTATCTAATCTTTGAAACGTGACAACCCTTTATGATTGCTCCAACCTAACCCTATCCCTACTCCGATCATGGGGCTGGGGTTAGAGATTGGGTTATCGAATCTGTGTTGTGATTGCCTTACCGTTTCCGCAGGTTCAATCGGGACCTTAACGCCGGTCTTAACGTCGGCTGATCCACTTGTCTTAACCTTAGTCGTGATTTTGGAGTCAGCCTCTGGGCTTAGTGTCGCCACAACCAGGCAAAGCGTTTGGCGTTTCTTCGACATGACTTCTTTAATGAAATCCTTCTCCAGGTTCACCTTCCTTTTAAAGAGAAAACAAAATCGAAAAAATGAAAGTGACATTATATAAAGAGGCTTATCCATCTTTGGAGTCTTTTGCAAGGAGTGGTTTTTTTAATAATCTGATAAACTCATAGGTGATGCCAGTCAGTCTCATTGGTGGCGTATCAAGAATGAATTAACAAGAGGGAATTAAACTCCTTGCGAGATCGAGTGCCTAATGCTGTATAACCACTGCAAGTTGTGTTGATTTTTGTTCTTCCCCTACTGGGGTGGGGGCTGATAGAGGGAGGGGGGGGGGGGGGGGGTTACACTCTATTCCAGCTATACCTTGGATGATAGGATACTTGGAATAGCTTCTTATATCTGTCTTAGCAGCTTGTACGAAATACAATGTCACCAACTGTTCATATTTACCTTCCTATGACAGAGTTGGCGAGTTGAGGTATGTCGAGGGATTTCTCAACAATCTTGCCAAAGTCTACAGAGACTACGATGCGTCGGTTAGCGTCTAACTCAAAACCAGCTATCTCCATTGCCAACGAAGCCTCGACTTTACCTAAAGATCATATTCATAATGAGAATGTTAATAATTGTTTCAATAACTTTGTATCACTTCAAGCGCTCAGGGCTGGGAACGATTGTGAATATATTTTGCGGCATATTCCAATTTAAACTATCATAATATACACAATTTAGGTCAAACGCAAAACGCCTTATTGAATAATTTACATTACTAGCTATTACGGCTAAGTCCGAATTAAAGAAAATGCAAACAAAATATTTTTCGTACATTAATACGGTATCTACATTTTGCTACAATGCTACAGATGAAATGAATTTGATCTTAAAAAGGGGTTTGGCAAAGATTGATGCAAGAGCATGTGTCATGTTTTGACATTTAGATGAAGGTGGTTAGACGATTAATGATTTAATGCTAACATTATGATCCAATTATGGTACACACTACATTCATAATTATTACGATATATTAGCATAGACAAAATATAATAATGTTAATGATACCTCCTGCCTTGATCCTCAGTGATCTTTCAAAGTTTACAAGGACCGCCTCCGTACTGCCGACCTCATCGAACCTCTCTGCCCCGTCATCATCAAGGATATCGGAAAGCGTAAACGGCATCGGGAACAGACTCACATGGTTCCAGAAATACTTCTTGTTTTTCTTTATAACAATATGGTATGGGCGACAGTTGCTTGCATCGGATAAACTTGGAGAAGCGATGAGGTTTGACAGCGCGCTGCTTGACACAGAGTGGACGAAGTTAGATGCTGCCTGGTGGAAAACGCTATCATCAACTTGACTAAAAAGAGACATGTTGGTGTTGCTGAGTTCCTTATAAAGTCCTTTCTAAATACAACAATGCAATTGTCTGGGGTTGTTGTTGTCGTTGTTGATACTGCTGCTGATGTTGCTGTTGCTGTTCAAGGTTCGCAAAATCTAAAACATTTAGAAATTGACGATTAAATTAAACTTCACTGGCGGGTATTCCTTCGAAGATGGGTGAAGACCTAACTTCTGAAGAAAACACTCTTTGTGAATAAATCTCTCCAAAACTTCTAAATTCAATGAGTCACAGTCTTCTTTACCATGTAACGATTCCAAAAATGAGCGTTTTTTTTATCAAGAAGGATAACAAGTGCAGCATTCCTTGTAATGTTAGAGCGCCGTAATGACAGCCATGCTAAAGCCAGGATAGTAATCAGGAGCGACAGGAGTGTTAAGTCTGACAGATATGAGCGCTTTATAAGAACCCAATATTATATGAAGAACTGCATGAAGGTACGGCCGTCAGTGGTTCTAGCTTAGTATTGAGTAACATAACGCTGAATGGTGGCGGAAGAGCGGGAAGCGTAGGCTAAAACTCTGTCCCAAAATTCCCAAATGATGAAATGATAGTCGGATGGGAAACAAAATTCAATTTCGTTTTGCTTGTGGCATGGACAATTTCCGCTTTGATGAATAAACATGTAAGGTGATACAAGTTTACTCCGCTTTTAACAATGTATACCTAGATATTCTTTATCTTTTTGTGTTCTACATGTTTATTTAATGATTTGAAAAAACATTGAAACGGAAATCCTCACAGAAATATTTTTAACTAGGACTTACATTTCATGTTTGCCTTTGACCCATCTCCTTGATTTACTCATCATCCAATTCAGGTACGAGACTCGTATCCCATTCCATCTTCTCTCATCCACGATGTCCTGATCGCATACCGGAGAAAATTCTTATCCTTGGTCACATTCTCCATATTGACCACGTACTCGATTTCATCCACCAGGTCGTTATATGTTCGAGCTACTCTAACCGCCTGAATGATGATGGTGATTAATCACAAAATTATTAGGTAATATAGAATGACAATATCGAATATGTTATTATTATTATTATTATTATTATTATTATTATTATATATTATTGTTATTATATTTTGCTTTAATACTATCTCAGTCGCCTTTCCTCTTCGAAAAAGGGCTTATATTAACGATTAGGAGAACGGAGACAGAGCAGAAGAAGAATACAAAGGAGAAAATGGTTTAGATTAAGAAGAAGAAGAAGAAGAAGAAGAAGAAGAAGACGAAGAAGAAGAAGAAGAATATAAAGGAGAAGAAGAAGAAGAAAAAGAATAAGAAGAAGATGAAAATAGGGAAGAGCAATAATAATCAAGGAGAACAATTAACATGAAGACAAATAACAAGAAGGAGAACAACATGATAAAGAACATTGTGAAGAAAACAACAACAGCCAAACAACAACACAAAAAACAAAAACAAAGTAAGAACCAAAATATAGAAGTACAATGTCGGAAAAGGAAAATATAAGCAGTATAAAGAACTTACCGGGTAGGCCCATCTTCCATTCACCCTCTTCGATCACTTCATCATCATCCTCAGCCTCAACACCGGCGATCCACTCCCTGATGTCGAACTGGTCATCATCTTCCTTGTCTTCAAAACCATCATCATCGTCGCTGACGACCTCACTGACATCCGGTGTCTGCTCGAAATCGTCGCCGTTGTCACTGTCGTCGGAGCATGTATTTGACTCGTAGTCTGACTCGTAAGTGACGTTGAACATGATTGGAGAAGTCGAAGACTCGCTCATGATGTCCACACTCTCCACTATCAGTAGTAACACATATTAATTCAAATTGAATTGAAATTTATTTCCATCATCATGACGTTATAATATACAAAGATAAAATATGGAATTTCATAACATGTAACCAAAGAGATATAACAATATCAAAATTACGTATAAATTTATATGACAGCATTCAAAATATAAAGAAAATATGAAGGTTTAAACCATAGTACAAATGGAAAATGGTGCATCCGTAAAAGCCAGTAAGGCTTGACAGTTGAATGCACCAGGCACAGAAGTAATAATAACATATACTTGGAAGAAAAGAAGAAAGAAAAAAAAGGGGGAGTATTAGTATTAGAGGTGTGGTCTTAAAATAAATTATGCGTTATAAAGAGAGAGAAGATGTTTCTTGTAAAGTCTTTTGAATGAATTATTAAATCCGACAGACTGTAAAAATGAAGGTAGGGAATTCCACATTTTTGGACCAACATAATGTCAACACTTTGTTATAAACTGGTTAAGAAATAATATACATGATCAAATAGTTTTAGCTTATTGTTATGCATTTTGTCCTCATTTTCATGTGTAGAAATAAAATACTTCAAATTTAAACATTGGGGCTGAATCAAACTGATGATGCTTGATCTTACCTGAGTCACGTATTCTGCAGCTGGCCACTGTCTCTAGGTGGTCTCCACCAGAATAATCAGCTTCACCTTCTCCTACAATAGATCCAAGCTCCTTCTCATCTTCCTGCTTATCCTCCTGCTCCTTTTCCTTCTCCCCCTGCTTCTCTTCTTGCTCCTTCTCCTGCTCCTTCTCCTTCTCCTCTACACTATCCACTGTAGGAACAAATATGAGATAATTTACATTTAAAATGTTGACAATACTTAAAGTATCATTTATATCTTACACAGTAAAAACGCTGTTTAAAAAAGTGATGTTCACTTACAGTTGTACACTATCTTAAACAACAGTTGATCAAATTGTAAACAATGTTGCTCGAAACAGAAGTAATTTTGTTAAACATTCGTTGTTTAAAATTTAATGACTGCTATATTTACTATACGAGAGCTTTTAGACAGTGTTGTTTACATATGACGTCATGTGTCTCGTGCCAGTAAAGTGCGTGTTGGCTAACTTTAGGCTTTATTTCACATTGTTATGTTTAGAAACAGGTTCCTTGAAACTAACATGCAATTGAAATTGACACGCCACTTAGAAATGCAGTGCAGCTGTTAAGGCACAGCTCATTGTTATTCATATTAGATGCATACACACAATGCAAGTGTATGCAAGGGTCTTCTGTTGACTACACAGATTGATACATATGTAAAAGCACATGGACATTGAGTCTGGATTAAACTACCAAAGCAACCACACGTGTTTCTGCAGGCTCCATTTTGTTTGTCTCTATACTTACATTTATTTAGCTTAATAGTTATTACTTTCCAACCCACAACACAACACACATCATGGCCGACCAAGCTACCGACGCGCTTCTAAGTGACTGGGGATTCAATGGCTTAATTGAAATCACTTTTCTATTAACCAATTTGAAGTTTTTAACTTATAGCGTAAGTTCACAGTTAAAATTTTCGGTATCTGTACGCAAATGTCAGAATATAGGTAGACTTAAAATCGTCGCGTCATGCAGTGCGGCACTGATCGCGCACTCGGTTATAACGTGTGCTAAATTCCTTGCCATAGAGATTGCATGCATCCCTATATATGCAGTTTATACGTGCGTGCATGCGCGCTCATGCAAAATGGGCACTGTTTTGGCGCTAATTCATGAATTGCAGAATTACCCTAGTCTTCATATACCTATGTAGAGACCCAGAAGTAGTGGTGCACTTATTCAGAGTATCAAACCCAAATTATACCCCATTATACAACCCTTTTGTTGTAAACAACCCCCACTGAACAACAGCTCCTTTTTAAACAACTTTCTTTAAACAACCCAGTTGGTTTAAACAACCCCCACTGAACAACAGCTCCTTTTTAAACAACTTTCTTTAAACAACCCAGTTGGTTTAAACAACCCCCACTGAACAACAGCTCCATTTTAAACAACTTTCTTTAAGCAACCCAGTTGGTGTAAACAACCCCCACTGAACAACAGCTCCTTTTTAAACAACTTTCTTTAAACAACCCAGTTGGTGTAAACAACCCCCACTGAACAACAGCTCCTTTTAAACAACTTTCTTTAAGCAACCCAGTTGGTGTAAACAACCCCCACTGAACAACAGCTCCTTTTTAAACAACTTTCTTTAAACAACCCAGTTGGTGTAAACAACCCCCACTGAACAACAGCTCCTTTTAAACAACCGTCTTTAAACAACACCGGTTGTTTAAATTGTGATTTTAAACAAGTTGTTCAAAATGTTGATCAACTAAGTGTTTAAACTTTAAACAACTCGAGTTGCTTAACATTTTAAACAACTCTTAGATCAGGTCACCCGTTAATCAAGAGTTGTTTAAACTTTTAAACAACTTGTTCACAAAAAATTTAACTGTGTAGCTAATAAGTATATTTTTTAGCCTCGTTCCGAAATTTAGAAATATGATATTTCAAGTTAGAAGCAAAAAATGGTTCACATTTAGGGTGAAGCAACATTTACCTCTTATATAACATACTGATCATAATGTATGTCTTACCTGAGTCATGCACTCTGCAGCTGGCCACTGACTCCGGGCGGTCTCCACCAGAGTAATCAGCTTCATCATCGGTGTTCACACGGGATCCAAGCTCCTTCTCCTCCTTCCCTACCTCCTCCTCCTCCTTCTTTACCCCCTTCTCCTTCTCCATCTACATCTCCTCTTCTTCCTCCTTCTCTACCTCTGGTTCTACCACGATCTCATTTTCTTCTGTCTCCTGCAGTTCATCCTCGTCAGTCTTGTACCCCTCTTCCTCACTTTTGTTTTCCTTTCCCAGTCCATCTTCAGGTGGATCATTCTTCTCAAGCTCCTTTCCCTCCTCCTCCTCCTTCATGCTCTCATTCTCCGCTTGGTTGTCCTCCTTCATCTCAACCAGGTCCTCCTTCTCCTCCTCAAGGTCTTCCACTACCATCTGCTCATCGGGTGGCGTACTAAAAATTAAGGAACAAAATGGTTTATGATCCGAAAAAATTCTCAAATGTATAGTCGACATATATGTTTAATAATGAACTATTTGCGGGTGCAACCCTTGAACAACATTGGCAATACAATTGAAAAGGGGGAAGTAGATGTCAGCTCATGTACTGAACGCCCTAAAGTGATACGGCAGCTGATAAAAAACACACACACAAAAACAAACAAACAAACAGAACATAAGGGAAAACCAACTACAGCTGACTGCAAATTACCTACACAGTTAAAAATTTTGTGAACAAGTTGTTTAAAAGTTTAAACAACTCTTGATTAACGGGTGACCTGATCTAAGAGTTGTTTAAAATGTTAAGCAACTCGAGTTGTTTAAAGTTTAAACACTTAGTTGATCAACATTTTGAACAACTTGTTTAAAATCACAATTTAAACAACTGGTGTTGTTTAAAGACGGTTGTTTAAA